TGTGATTGCTCAGTTCTCTTATGCTCATTTTTTGGGGTTGAGGGTGGGGATATGGTCCTGCCCAGCGATATCAGCATCTAGTGAAAACTTGCTGGATAGGCAGGCTCTTGGTCACAGTGAACCAGAAAGTCTAGGAGAACTGGACCCACTATCTGTGATCCAGAAGGCTCTTTACATGGCTCTGATACACACCATAATGGACAAGCTCAGCTTTGACCCCATCTACTGTATTGCTCACCTTCTAGCATCCTGATTCACTGAGAAGACTATACCTCGTTCTTTCTCCCCTGAACCACAAAGCAGTTTCAGGTCTCTTACAGCATTTACACTCCTGCATCTGTCTGTCTTTCGAGGTGGAGGCCACACCGTAAATTACTTTTCATCTACATACAGCTCCTTCTCAGTGGTCTGGTAATAAGTGCTGATGAGCAAGTGAATGTATGCATGAATGAAGGACAGTGTTTTAGGAGGAGTTGTGATCAATAAGGTCAGGTGCTGTGGAGAGATCACGGAGAATAATGAATGGAAAATCTATTGGATCTCACAGCGGGGCAGGTGTTGGTGACCTTTGAAATGCTTGCTTCAGCAGAGTGATGGGCAGGAAGCCCAGATTGCTGGAAGTTAGGGGCGTCCAACATGATAAGGACATCCACACTTCTTATTGACTGTTTATCTGAACATGTACAAACAGAATTTTCCCGGGTGAAGTTGCTGAATGACTTTTTTGGTTGGTAACCTAGTTCCACTGAGCCTGTGATCTTAGGATATATGATTACTGTAACATGATGTGTTTCTAATTTTAAACTTAAATGAAATTATTGTGAACCCTGGGATGTATCACTCAGTAAGTGCTTAAATGGCCATTTCCCTTCTTCACCTATGATTTTTTTTTCTTTACAAATGCAGTTGAAGAAATCACTCTGTGCCTATTATGAAAAATGAACTTCTTTAGAATATTCCTCATTCCAGTCATGAATGGCAAAAATTATGAATTTTATTTGGACTGGGAAAACATACTTTTATTTGAATCAGGCAGAATATTTGAAATTACATGCTATCTCTACCTGGAGACGTTCCCTAAAAGGTAGTAGAGTCAGTGGTAAGGTTTCCAGTAATTCAGATATGGATGGAAAACAGAATTTATGACCTTAATTTTTAGTTTTTCTTTGAGAGAGGGTGAAAGGGACAGAGATTAAGAGAGAGAGAACAGCTATTGATCGTTTGAGTGATTGATTGACTGACCGGCTGATCATTGGACTCATGTAACTGAAAAATTCAGGGGTGATACATTCTCAGTCTCAGGCATGTCATTAGTGCCAACATGTGGTCTTTTAAAGATGATGTTAGAGCCTAACATGATTCCTGTTTACTAGTGCCTTTGCTGGCTACAAATTCAGAGCAAAAGATAATCCACACTATTTGTAACTAAAGTTCTGAAATTGATCTTGTGATCCATCATTGAACCATTGTTGTGGTCAGGAATAGGACAGTCTGGCTTTTTCTCAGTGACCTAACTCATGCTTCTCACCACACAGGAGTTAGACCCGAGTCCTCCATAGCCTGGGAGATCTTGAGATCCAGCAGAGTCTACCTTCAGGTTTACATATTTTATGTCACTTAAAACTTTAACTTCTTCATTTTCGTTTCTCTGACTATTGTCAAAATTTGGCGACTTGCCTGTAAGTGGTTACACACAACTTTATACTAGAATTCAGGAGTCAGATGCAGGCAGACCTCAGAGTTACAGGCCAGCTTGGTCCACACAGAAGGTTCCAAGGCAGCCAAGGTTACATAGTTAAATATGGTCTCAAAACAAGCGCCTTGGTGACTCCCTACAAACTGGAACTATAAAACAGCCTTTTCTGATGTAGTGTAGAACCTTAACACACTGATAGTCTTTGATCTGCACCATATCTACAAGTCATGTTGTTTATTTTCATACCCTCGTCTGTGGTTCATCGCCCAGACTATTGAGCTACTGACTAGTTGGGCTACTGACTTAGTAACCAAACATCTTTTGCACTAGGGTCTAAAGCTGCTCCTATACTTATCTGTATAAAGTTTACTGGGACACACACACATATACACTTTAGCCTTACAAATATATAGCTCATTTCATGTTGTAATGCATAAGTGAGTGATTATGAAAGAAAAATTGTACCTTACAAGATTGTTACTAAATATCAGGACCTTGTAGAATAAGTTGTTGACCCCTGCTATAATACTGCTTTATCACACTATTTCTACTGCTTTATATATGACATGTTTATAAGAAGTGATCATAAACTGATGAGATGGCTGGTAGGTAAAGGTGCTGGCTGCCAGGACTGAAGAAGAACTGAGTTCAGTCTCCTGAGCTCACATGGTAGAAGAAAACTCTCACAAATCATTCTCTGACAGCTTACATGGACACTGTGGTACCTGTGCATACCCACAAAAAAATTAAATATAAAAGCTAAATAAAGATCAGGAAATATCCTTATATCTTACTGTCTGGTTACAAAGCGTATTTAGAGGGCATATTTTTGTCTTATATATTTTGTTTGTGCTGGTAAAGTTATCTGAAAATAAGTCCCATTAAGCCTCTTTCTCTTTGAAACTACCAGCCTGTTAGCTTCTTAATGACTTGGAAGATGGGCAACCACTTTCCCTTCAGCTACTGAACACATGTGATCACACGTCTGCATTCACTTTGCAAAGATACAACGTGCCAAACCGTGCATAAAATTCAGGATTTGGTGTCATATTCTTTCTCTGTGATCCTTTCAGTTTCTCATTTGTTGTGGTCAGAGCGCAAACAGGCTGTTTGATGGGGGTTCGGCAGGGTTGATGAAAGGGAAGTGGAAGAGGAGCAGATTTCTCTGAGTCTAACACGAGGCTCCAAGCAGATCAGCCACTTATCACAGGGCTGTATAGTCAAGCTTTACTTGAAGAACAAGATAGTAACACCCCTCTCCTGCCTTTTGCAGCCTAAATGCCCTGTGGAGTGAGAGAAGACTTCAATCTGCAGGCTTGTGAATCCCTTATCTTTCCCAAACGTTAAATTAATTTTTAAAGCTATTTATTCAAAGTTGACTTAACCACCAGAACAGGAGAGATCAGACAAATCAGCTGCAAGAAATGAAGTATGGGGAAACCCGAACTCTTTGACAAAGTATTCCTGGGAGTAAATGTGTTGAATGAAGCCAGCGGGTAAATGATAAGGGCCTTTACACTGTGGATGTAAGAAAGCAATTTATCAAGAGTACATGAACTCTCTAGTGGCTTCAAGTCAGAAAGAAATGAGAGTGGAGGAGGAGCCCTAAAAAATACATTAGAAATACTTAAAAAAAAAAAAAACCTCCATGTGTATGCTCTTTTGAATCTCTCCATTATTATGCAGAAGTGCTGGTATGTTTAAATTAGGGTTGCTAAGCTTGTGTTTGGGCTGTAGGCAGTACTGCTGTGGGGTAAGTGTTCAGGAGAAAGCATTTGACACGGCCATTCAGTAGCTTAGAATCTGCAGGAAGTTTGTGTATTCTCAGCTGTAGCTACAACTTAAGGCAGAGAATTGTCTGATATCTATTTGCCTGACTCGTGAGGCTAGATGACCATCTCTCTGGCTTACAGTGTTTGCATTTTTACCCTCTTGGGCATGTGTGTGTAATTCTGATAATTAATTGCAATTCCTTTGGTGTCCTCTTGAGGAGTTGTAGGTGCCTCTCAGGAGCCATCTCCTTGAATCTTGCTGTGTCTACCAGAGCCCTTTGTCTGAGACAAGTGTCTCTTCATCACTCACAGTGGAGAAGCAGGGGCCACATGCTTATGGTCTAAGCAGTAGGGTTCCCAGTAATTCACACAGAGATGGGAAGTAAAACTTACGACCTTATCTTAAGACTTTAACTTTAGGGGAGAGATGTCTTTCCACAGAGTTGAGGGGATAGCACAGTTACTGAAATGTGCGATTCCAAAAGCATTTACTCTTAGAATGGCCATCCTCAGCCTTCCCCATGAGGTAATTCCATTAGCTGAAATCACAGAAACTCCCAGTTGTAGTCCTCATTGGTTGTTTTCATCTGACACCCTTGTAAGAACTCTTAACAAAAGTAACGTAGTAAGTTCCAGACATTAAGTTGGTGAAGACCAAACTTTTCCAGGGTCAAGCATGAGCAAAATTTGAAGAAGGAAAGCTTCAGAAAATCACCCTCAGCTAATTTGAGTTGTACTTTCTTGCCTTCCACACAAGTGCCAACTTTTCTTATTCTTTCTGAGTGTGGCTCTTCTGAGATTTCTGTAGTTTTCCTGGATGGCTTTCCTGTGTAGCCCAGGCCGTGCTTGAATTCTCACGCCTTTTGTCAGTCCCCTGAGCACTACGGTTACAAGTACAGGCTTCACCTGCCAGGTTTGAGTGAGGCCCTTAACCCTGCAACTTCGACCATAGGCTTCCCCTTCTCTAAAGCAGTTAGGGATTGTAAGAGGAGTTAGCGGAGCTGAGTCTCTTTCTGTTTCAAAGAGGGTCTCAGTACGTAGTCCACGCTGGCCTAGTGCACCTCGCCTCACCTGTACCAATATAAGTATGTGCTACCATACCTTGTTTAGGGAGTGACTATTACTTGAGCAGGTGGTTAATGGTAGAGCCTGTCTTGACAGCGTGAATGTGAGTTTCTGGGCTTATGTAGGAGAGTAGGAAGCTCCTTGAAAACTTGAGCTAGTTTAATTAGCAAATTAACTAGTTGTGATTTTAGAAAAAGCCATAGTCATGCAAAAAAAATAAAAATCCTCAGTGACTTTCTTTCTGTAAGTCAAATGTTTTGCCTGATGTTGTCTATAATTTATAAATACCAAATCAAAAAGGGGGTAAAACAGGAAGCAAGGACTCTTGCTTAAATATCTGTGATTATGAGCTGTCTGACAAAATGAAGCCTGGGTAATGTCCAATAATGTTCCTAATTGTTTTTGTTTTGTTTTGTCCTTTCTATCTCTTCATCCCCATCCCCGGGACATCGGCGGGATTACCACAGCCTTGGATAAACTCAGCACACAGCACCTGTACCACCCCACTCAAGTGGAGATTGTGCAGTCCAATGTGGTGTTTGACATCAGCAGCCTGATGCTGTATGGGACGCAGGCGGTGCCTGTGCGGCTAAAGATACTGCTGGACCGGCTCTTCAGTGTCCTGAAACAGGAGGAAGTGCTGCACATACTGCATGGCCTGGGCTGGACCCTGCGGGACTACGTCCGAGGATACATCCTTCAGGTAGGGGAGGACTGGAGTGCTGGATCTGGGCCAACTCCTGGTGGGCTGAATGAGAGCTCCGGCTACACCTGGGTTTCTTCTTCCTCTCATGGCTCTAGTCAGGGAGTAGGAAGGAGGAGATTCAGGTCTGTAGGCTCCTCTCAGACCTTAGTGTGTAGTTGAAGAGGACAGTAGCCTGTTAAGCAGTGTTGCTTTACCTTTGAGTTCAACTCTTCCCCTCCAAAATGGGCTCTTACTTCCCTCTGTAAATCAGGGCTTTCAGATTTATCTGGGAAGCCCATACCCTGTGCCCTACCATCAGTACCCCATCTCTCATTACCTTTTTGGTGCTATGCCAAAAGTCATTTTGCCTCTGACATTTCTATCTGTCTTCCCGTAACCCTTGAGGGTTAACTATTGAGGACAGCATGTTGAAAGACCTCAGGATCCAAAGTCTGGATGATGGAAGACTAACTTATGTTGAAGGAACTGTCAGTTGGGAAAGGTAGACTCTCAAGTGTTTCATGAAGTTTCCTATGGAGATATTTTCAGAACTGACCACTTGGAAAGAAAAAATATGCATGGCTGTGCCAGCCCTGTCAAGTACTATAGATAAAACTGATATTTATGATCTGAGTCATCGCATGTAATATGCAAGTCTTCAACTGCTGAATACACATATCAAATATTCTGTGTCTGTAATGAGTGGAGATCTTCCAGTCTCCCCATGTTTTAATCTGGGATGAGAACATACACATTCATGCCATTCTTCTACAAGGTTCCTCTAGATATCAGTGAGGACAGAACAGCAGAGGATAGTAAATAAAAGTAGAAAGAGAAGTAGAATAACCTGCCTGCTTCTATACTAAGATAATTTCTTAGTTTAGTGAGTGCCTCAGCTTGGAAAGCACAGAAGCTCAGAAGATGGTCCTCAGAAGATGGATGGAGGGTGACCATAATTACATATGCCATTTTCTGTTTAGATTTCTTGCTTTTTTCTTGGTAAAACCCCATGACCAAGGCAACTTACAGAAGACTTTATCTTGGTTTATAGTTCCAGAGGGTTAGCATCTTTAAACGCAGAGACAGCGGGTAGCACACATGGCAAAAGGAACTGAAGCTGGATGGTCACATCTTAATCACAAACATGAAGCAGAGAGCACAACTGGAAATAGCAAGAGTCTTTTAAACTCCTGAAGCCTACCTCCAGTGACAGACTTTCTTCAGTAAGGACTCACTTGCTAAACCTCCCCTAACACCACCACCAACTGGGCACCAAGGATGTAAATATATGAACCTGTAGGGAGCACTCTCATTTAGACCACCACAGTTTTAAAAAGTATGCTATTTACGTATTCTCTCATATGCCCCAGGATAAGATGATTTCAGAGAGGTAAGTGGGCAGATAGTCCCAAGAGCCAGGGAATATAAAAGGATGCGTGATCCAGGATGAAGATCCAGGACAAAGACAGCATGGAGCCACTTTCACCATCTCTGTTTATACTAGCTCTGAGACCTTGGAGTAGTTGCTACACGATTGGTGACATCTTTTTTGGATATTTTTTTTCCCCCTACAAGGAAAAACCTCTTACAGATGTCTGCCTGGAGTGGTTAGCTTAGCTAAGGTTTCCTTTATTCAAAACCTATCAGATAGCATCTTCACTGTCTCCCCGGTGGTGCTTGGTGCTGCCATCAATACTGCATTTCGGCGCCGTGACTGTTTTTTCGCCTGAGATAATGGTAGCATGTGTGTTGTGTCTTCCTGGGCAAACAAATATGTATGTGCCTAACTGTACTGGTGTGCCATCCTAGCATCAGTGATGTCTTCTGCTGTTCCTGTAGGAACTCCTATCACAGTTTTAGTTGACTAGAAAAACCTTGTAACACTGCTATTTTCTACCATTCCAATTTGACCAGACCTTTTGTAAGAATATAAAATAATTATTTAGGTATTGCTTTTTCAACATTTCATTATGTCTTCACAGTATAGAAAATATGCTTCTTTCAAATAGACTGTAGATTTCATCTTGCATGAGAGATAGGTGCAAGAGAAGCATCAAAGGAAAAGTTCATGAAGCCTCAAGCCAGTATGTAAAAAGTGCCTTATTAGGAAGGGAATGCTGCATGTAAGAATATTGCCAATCTTAATATATTACAATTGATTTTCATTAATACAAATTTTGACAAATCTCAAATTTTTACACAGCATTTCTTAAGAGTCTAAAATTGATGTTTTCAGGAAAAATTATAGATTTTGCATATTAGAGGAACTCTCAGCTTAGTTTCTGTTGTCTTTTATTGATAGAATCGATGTAATATTGATTTTCTTTAAATGGCACTTTCTGTCGTTTAGCATTTATCATATACTTGTTCTGTGTAAAACAGTTCTGAGGTTAGAATAAAATCAGAAGGTGGCAGGGCACAAAAACATTTTAAAAAAGTGCTAACTGAGAAAACATTCATTTCATAAAAGACGAAAGGGCTGTAAAAAAAAACACCCCTTTTTCTCTAACGGTGGTTCTTGATTACTGGCCATCCTTTAGAATTATGTGTGGTAATGATAAGGTATGCACAAATGGCTTTGAATATAATTATATGTAACATTTTTGTACAGGTAGACTATAAAATGTTCATCTGAGAGCTGGGGAACCCTATAATGCACCATTAGTGTTCAAGTCATTTTATCTGGCTAAAACTCAATTGTCTTGTAGCCCTCAAGGCATCAATTTTAGCATTATTGCTCTCAACAACAGTATATTGAATATTATGTCAGTTAAAGGAGAGTAATTATCAAGGCAAGTTAGGGTGGCTGTTAGTCTTCCCGTATATTGACTTGGTTAGCAGTTGGCTATAGATTGTGTTACTGGGCAAATGAAGATGTACAGTAAGTTGAACTGGTCAAGCCAGGATATTAATCTAAGTCTTTCTGGGCCCAAACCTACATTCTTTGTTTATACCCAGCTACTTCTACCTTTAACAAGAGTTTTGAAAGTGGAAGAGAGTATGTCATCTGTTTTTCTGTTGTTGTTTTGGTTTGGTTTGGTTTGGTTTTTTAATCTGGGAGTGTGTGGTTGAGGGAGAAGAGCAGGTCATTCAAAACTCAAATGAAAGCTATCATTTTTGTATGACACTCAAAGAAAAAGGAAGATAACAGGGATGCCACACAGACATTGAGAAGCTTGGAATTTCTATCATGAAGCCTTTCACTCAGGTGACATCTATGAGCACTGTAACCCAGCCAGTTGAGTGTAAAATGGAAAGCACAAATTGGACCACAACCACGTAAGAGAGTGTGAGCCATTTCCTAGAGGTGAAAACCCCTGTGTTCTCCTGTGTAGTTGCTAAAGTCTTCATTCAGAAAGGAGGGAGCATGTTCCAGAAAAGTGAAGTGGAAGTATTCACTTAAATGCTAAAATATAAATACAAAGGAACGTTTATTTTTCTGCTACAAAGTCATCCTCTACAGACACGTTTATTGACAACTAATAAAAAGAGTGGCCTGCCCTCTCATCCTGTCCTCATTTCCTTTCTGTCTTCGACTTACCATTGTTGAATTTAGTCATTTAAAAATAACATTTTCACAGAGTCTCCCTTTAGCTTGAACGTGTAGCTAACTTGTCTGGGCGCATGTACCATCCTGTCTTTGGAAAACTCCCCACTTGTAAGCAAGTCCTCCCAGAACTCCAAGAAGCAGTTCAGACTTTGTGAACAATTGGCAGTGTCAGCAGAGTAGTAGCAATGCGAATTTCAAGTCACCTGGGCCTTAATGGAGCAAGCCACATACTTCTAGCATTTCTCCAAGGCTTAAGAGCATTCTGAGAACTCTAGCTTTGGATGTGGGAAGCACCACTTGCTGGATCCTCCCCTGAGCATTTCATGATATCATTACCATAATAAAACCTCTGAGGGCTTTGGAAGGAAGGAACCTGAAAAAGTAGGTAAATAGCTTTCCCCAAGCCTGCTAATTCCTAACTTTTTGTCAAGTTCATCCAAAAAATTCGGTTCCTGAACACACCTACTTCTTCCTCAGCTTGAGTTCTAAGTAGGAAGGGTTTCTTCTGCCTGTAAAGCCCTACTGTTCTCTGTGTGGGGGTAATTTCTTCTTCTATAGAAGTAAAATGAAATCCAGTTGTTCACAGGTGCTAGCTGAAACAATGGGAGCCCTTACTTTTCTGTTGTTATTTTTATCTCAAGACTGTTTCCTTCAAACTGATACCACAGATTAAGGACAGTCCCTTAAAAGACACTGTTTCAAGACAGTTGTTAAAATGTCTCTCCTGCCCTTGCTATAAAGTACTACAAATTCACTTGCTGCATATCAGTTACAAGGAAATACCCTTAAACTCAGGATAGCATGATATTTGACCTCAGCACTCTTGCAGTGTCCAGCCAGTTCAGTTGGACAAAGGACCCTTAGCCTTTCTTCCTACATCCTAGGAGCTGGCAGCACCAGCTACAGCTGCACCACTGGAAGGTAGTAAGCAAAGGCTTCCAGGCCGCCTAGCCAGAGGCCTAAGCAAAGGAAACATTCTGTGGTTATCTCTGTGGTAAAAAATGTCAATATTAAACAAACACTTATATTTATATGACCCTGTAAGAAGTAAATTTACATGTTTGTTCTACGAATCCCCAGCCACCCCCTCTTGTAGTTACTTTCAGTACATTAACATTTGGTGCATTGAAGTCTATGGGGGTTATATGACTTTTCTATGATCACAGCAACTTCAGATTGGCATAATAATGTAGGGTAGGCTTCCTGAAGATAAGAACCACATACCTCTTGTTCTGTCTCAGCCCACTTGGCCATTTCCCAGTGTCCTGGGTGGGAAGGCAGATTCATGGTTTGGATTCCTGGCTTAAAGTCTTATCAGAAGTATGAGATTCGGCCTGTGCCTTTGTTTAATATGTCTCTCAATGTAAAACAGCATGATAATAGCACCTCACAGCTTTGTTGTGAAAAAAAAAAAAAGTAAGACAGTGTACATAAAGGGCTACTAAATCCAGCCAATGATAGCTTAACA